AAAATTCATCACTTGAAGCTTAAAGCGGACAGTGGGGGAATGAAGACAAAACTCGATCAAGATCTCATGGTTTCATCATCCCGGATAGTCGTGGTCCATGATCTACATAATCAGAAAATGTGGTCGACCCAACCTGACAGAATAATCCTTGTCAGCAACCACGAGTTGGGTTGGGTCGTCCAAGGTATTCTTGTAGATCTATGGTGGATATTTGTCTAAGAGAACAAATTTAAGTTGATCTTAACTAACAAAAGGTTTTGTGCCAACCAATTGTATTCTTATGATTCACAATTCAAATTGTAGAAAACAATTGGGGAACATACGGGCTACAGTCATGACCGTAATAGAATACTATTATTTGTCAGCAACTATGAGTTGTGTCGTCCAATGTATCTTTGTAGATCTGGGGTGGATATTTGTCTAAGAGAACAAATTTAAGTCAATCTTAGCTAACAGAAGTTTTGTGTCAACCAATTATATCCTTATGATTCACAATTCAAATGGTAGAAAACAATTGGGGAACATAAGGGCTGCGGCCATGACCGTAATATAATGGTGTCATTTGACGGCACCGACTGGTCAGATGACTCTGATCGTAAGCTATTTTGTGGTGTTCATGTCCTTATTAGCATGCAATTACTTTGATAGTGAATACAAAGATACATTTAATATAACATTAGCTCTTTTTGAGCTGAAGTCAGATAGAAATTTGTCACCATTAACAAACTGTTGCAGATGATGGATAACATTTGCTTTAAGTCTTTAGTGATTAATTTTTAGCTTAGATATTTTAATTGATTATTTTGAAAGTCTTGATTTAAAAGATTGATCCCTCTGGTTGAAATCTTCTAACTGCTCAGTCATCATCGGGGTATTAAATATTTTAAACTTTTAAATATGAAGAAGCAATTAATTTTGTCAATTTAAGCTTTTCAAAATAAAAGACCTGTCTACTCATGTCCTTATAAGGAGGAAAATAAGACTAGTTTGATGAATTGGACTTGTAAACCCTTAGTTCAAGATTTGGACATTTATTGGGGCTTATTAGATTTGTCAACTCCAGTCCTTGTGGGGAGGAGGATCGAACTAGTGGGGTGTGACTTACAACCCTGCCCTATAGACAAAGCGACCCGATTAGCCCGCGCAACATTCTCGAACCTAGTATTTAAGCATTTTATACGTCGGTTGAACACATGCTGACATTTAATTTCATATATTTGAGTTAGTTTAATTGCAGCATTTGATATCTTAAGACATTTTATATAATTTATGGTATGTATTAAATCAAATAACTTCAAAGAATGCATCTTGAAAGACTTGCACAAATTTTGAGACATTTATATTTGAATCAAATATTAAATTAAGACATGATAAAGTCATAAAACCATTTAAACATCTTGAAGTTTTTTATTTTAAATTATGACTTTACACACACAGGTTTTTCTTTTAAGCATTTTTACTGTTTTTTGTTCGCTAGAAAGAGTATTGCGAAACCGGTGGCAAAATTTGATATATTAATTCTTCATTTCAACGTTTAAAAATAACATTTGTGTCTTAAATTTAGGCCCAATTTATGATATTTAATATTTATGCTAAGCTCAACCCTCAATATGTATAATTTGATATTCAATTTAAATTCAGTCTCCCAATTTATGACATTTTATATTTAAGTATAGACCTCGATTTATAGAATTTGGCACTCAATTTAAGTTTAGCCCCCTAAGCTTACCCCAATTAAGCTAAGCCTCAATTTAGAGATTTAAATATACCACGAACAAATTCATTTGTACTTGGATATAGATTTTTTCATTTGTTTACTTTTCCAATATGATCAAATTAAAAGTCAAAGAAAAGTTTAACTATATTAATTGGCGAGCCATTCAAATTTTTATGAATCTTATGCAAGTCTCAAATGCATTTAATTTATCCTCTTGAAATGACTTCAACTATAGCTTAAGTATTATTCTTTATTTTGTAATATGCAATTTCATTTAATGTTAGAACATTTTTAAAGTCCACACAGTTCATATTTTTATAATATTTACGAGTCCAATATCACCAAAAAATTTGGCAACCTTCCGGCATCAGCACCCTATTTAAGGGCATGGGAGAATGTCAACCTTCCCAGTTATTTTAAAAGATGAATTGGTCAGTGTCGTGAGTCACTACGACCGGGAGCAAAAGGTAAATTTAACCCGTAATATTAAAAGATGCAACAGACCTTCAATGTACCTGCATAAAAGGTTAGATCGCAAACCAATATCCTCCAACCGGTACTTTCTTTTCCCCGAACGGTACTCATTCCCACAGCAGAGTACTCACTTTCCCATGAACGAATGTTTAAAACCCTCAATTTTAAAAAGTCTTCCAAACGAGTCTGTGTCTTTCCCCGAATGATACTTAATTTCCCCGTGAACATGTACTCATGCTTCCTCGAGCGGATATTTCAAAAATTGACCCACATTGTCCCAAAATATACCTTTCGAACTCTGACCTTAATGGGACGACGACGATCTTAGGTGGTAAGCGGTTTGACAACAAAGCATTTTTCCTTCTCAATATAAACTTATTTACTTTTGCACTAAGAAATGTAGACCTGTTTAAATCAAATCTTTCAGGTACAAACTCTTTTGCTCCTTCCCAGATCATATCTCTTCTAGAGTGTGATGAGTAAATGTCAAACTCTTGATTGAATTTGAACATTGTGCGCCCATACTCAGCAACTGAGCATATTTCTCACCGAACAAAACAAACTTGTTAGTCTTGGCTGCAGAGCTCTCCGGAGCTATGACTTCAATGTAAGTATAACCATCTCTTCCCTTCGTAAGCCTCAACCCATAAGGCATCTCATATTTCTCATGTTTCTCTTCTTCTCTTTGTTCTTCTTCTTCTTCTTCCCCCCTTACGCCTCTCCGACTTTGATGGTTTAGATTATGTCGCTGGTCAAGAAACTATAATCACGAAAGCAACATAATTAATTGAATGTTATTTTCCCATGGCCATGGCTTTGGGATCAAAAAGGGCTGAGAACTAGGCATGGAATAAAAACGGATTTTTGTCTATTGCGCTTTGATCTTGGAAGAGGACACGAACTAAGAATATATTTCATGAATGTGCCAAGCAAAACAACAAGAAGAATATATGGAATGAAAAAATTCTGCTTTGGTTTTGGCTCCGGCTCGACTCAGGCAAACACAGGGGGAAGACTTTGGTACAGGGAGAAGACGGTGAAGACTTAAGTCTCAAGTGATCCAGCCGTTGTCTTTCCCAGCCGCAGGAGAAAGACGAAGTTCTTTTTACCCCACGATCCCGTCGTTGCTTTTTTGCCTAGTCCTACTCACAATTGTATCAAAAAATGAAGGTCACTGTATGTTGCGATTCCACAATTGCTTTTCCCGATTGCTCTAACCGCGATGGGAAAAGAGGGAATGGGTGGGAGGTTGGCAAACAGTGAAGCAGGACTTCCAGAATTTTATTTTAAGCATCGACATAGAGCTTCACGGTTACTTGTAAAACTAGTCAACAACGCATCAACATCATCATTGAACATATGCCATTTATCTAATCGTCTTTATGAATTCTAATGCTTCATTCATCCATGTTAAATGCTTAATGCGGCATTGAACCCATTTTTGTTAATATATAAATTCTATCCATATTATTTCTGAATAGCCCATTTTTTTCTCTAAAGAAGAGTTATTAATTTTATTAACTCATCTAATTAGATGGATAAATTTAATTTTAATAAGATTTATGCAAGTAACCATTAATAATATTAAATTTTAGTTTCATCATGCTTTTGAAAAAAAAAAATCTTTTGCATGCCCACTTTACCAACTCTATTGATACTAGATCAAAAGCATTCAAAGTTACATAAGTAGTATGTAACAATTATTTCATTGTTACAGTTTTATTCATTTTCTTGCAGCAAAAATAACCTCAATAATATACTCAAAGATAAGCCATAATTTTCAATTCTCATTTATATTTAAAACATGTACAAAAATGCTTGTTCATTAGCAAATTAGTGTTTCCTTGTCCATAAGAAATTATAAAGATGATGGATTCAGCAAACTACTTGTAAGTCTATTATAATTTTATATCTTCTATAAAGCTAAATCAATATCATTTGCTTGAATTAATTTATTATAACTTCATAATTTATATATCATTATGATTAAATTTCTTAATTAAACATCATATTTACTATTTATTAATTTGATTCCAACGCATGAAAGTTTATCACTTATGATGCATAAAAACTAGATTTTATGAGCATGGCATTAAATTCCAAATTTCCAAGTCATCAAGGATGACTCCCAAAGCTTGGGCATACCTTGATTCACCACAATTAGAGTTGTTTGGTTACAGATAGGCTCTAGTAAATCCTATAAATCAATATTTAGCACATCTTACATAATATTGTCTGGCACTACAATTGTTAAATCTCGCTAAATCAAGATAAAATGTTTGGCTCTTTGTTTCAAAAATTAAAATTTGTGAGAGTGATAAATCTTTTCATCCACTAAATCCAATAAAGGATGGGATTTATCAAATGCTGGATTTCATCAATAAGACTAATGAAACAGAGGTTTTATTTTTTTCTCCTTCAATCTAGGTAAAAAAGTAAAGCGTTGGGATGAAAACGGATAAAACAAAACTGTAGGATCTTAAGTTACGAAAACTCTGTTTAAAAGGATTCAAAGTAAAGAAATCATTTCCTGCATATTCATTACCAAAAATGAGAGCAAATTACAAGTCCAACTTAATCATTCATTTTCAAATACTATGAATGGAAGATTCAGAATTGTCATCTAACAGTCAAATCGATCATGCCAATTCAGATAATGACGTACCAAAACATAAAATCAAATATAAATTCTTCAAACACCAATATCACGAGAATCATTGAACAAGTTTTCATACAATAAAGATTAGAAGATTAAAAAAGGACTGAGATTAAAAAAAATAAAGTCTTCATCTAGGGCATGCATGCAAACCTCGGCTATTCAGAAGAAGCCGCCGATTGTGGGAAAAGATAGAGGTGAAACGCCCCTGAAGTATCCTGATGGACGCCATGGATGAATCTCCCGGCTTTACTCGGACGGAGGAGCTGCGCCTTCAAACCTAACAGAAGGTTATAGTGGGATTCTAGAAGCTTTCGGCCTATAAAAGCGATTATCACATGCAAGTTTGTCATCTATTGTCTGCTTAATAAAAATAAATAAAAAAAATCAAATAAATAATACGTTAAATTAATGATTAATATATTGTCATCATTTATATAAAAGTCGCTAAATATTTATTTATTATATAAAATCAAAAGTGATCATTACTCAGCAGTAAGGCATTGCATTAGTTTTGCATTAGTTTTAAAAAGCAAAGTGGCTCAAAAAAGAAGAATAGAATAGTATAATACAACTTAGAAGATATTTGATTGATATGGCCATCAAAAAGAGTGATCAATAAAGTAACTTTAGGGTATGTTTGGGGTGACAGTGCGGTGATGGCGGTAATGCACTATTGTATTTTGTGACATTTGATAAAACTATGTTTTGATTGTTTTTTTCAAAAAATTATGGCAAGAAATTGTATTTTTCAATATGATCTGACTAAGTGTGGTGACTGTTAGGAATTTGCGATTTGATTTTTTTGAAAATAAAAAAACTTTAATAATCATCATAGTTTTATGAACAATAATTTCTTCAGCAACAATTTTACAACTGCTTCTTCAAATAGATGAATTTATGTCAAACAGACTCTTAGTTTTCATTGACATCTACTATTGAGGTACGTATTACCCTCACGAGCACTCCATTCTCCACCTCACTCTCTCCCACTGCATCATTGATAACACCTCCAATAGAACTTATTCATGAACCACTTTGGTAATAGGTTAATCTGTTCCATCTTAATAATTCTTTGTATGGATGCTCATTTACATGAAGAGTTGGATTGGTCAAAATAAAAGCGATGCTTCTTAGATGGATGTTAGATTGAGGGGGCATCTATAAATGTTAATGTAAATCATACATGATATAATATCTCCACCTAGTTTAATAAATTTTAAGGGGCATTTACACACGTACCTCCCAATTCTCATATATTCACATATCTAACAATTATACTTTCATATTTGTGTACATAACTATCAATTCCTTGGTATCACTTTAAAAATATCATTATCATTAGCTTTTTGACTGCCCTAATTACAAATCTTAAGAGCCAAGTAGTAGCCATGCGAGTAAAGCAGCAATGCTTAATAAAACATTCTTTGGTGTGGTTGATTTTACGTGCTAGCATTACTAGTACTTATATATGGAGATACGAGAAATGAGGCTAACAGAGAAGAGGGAGAGAATGGTTGAAAGAGCTTTGACTGAGGGGTGTCTAAGTTTTTATTTCTTTTTTTCATAATGAATATTTCTACTTGTTAAACTTATTTGTGAACTTGTGCCTTTTTGACAAATACTCGCTTCATATTTGAATTTTAAATTCCCAAGAAGCTTCTTTAGTCTGAAAATTATTAGAAATTAATATTTTCATGATTGCTAGGTCTTTAGTTGGAGAAAATTTTGGGAGGTCTAAATGTTAATTTTAAGTTTTGGGAGGTTTAAAATTGAAAGAAAAAGGAGAAGTTTTGAGAGATTTAAATTTATGTAGTTAAAATGCTATATTTTATATTTTGTATAGTTCGTGTATACCAAAGAAATAAAACGAAAAATTACACAATGTACACACGTATTATGGATTTACACATCTTACACCTAAATTTCAATATTTGCAGAGCATAATACTTTACACATGCATGAAAAGATGAATTTGACTATTAAAAAAATTTAACTTGTGCGGTTTTTGATGCGATGCACAAGAAGTGAGCAATATGCACGTAAATATAATAGTTTTTTTTTTGGTACGAGAAATGTAAATTCGTGAAAACTGCGTGCTATGTATGTAGACTCCCCAAAAGAAAAAGAAATCATAGGCATCACTAAATTAGTTCATAAGAATTATAAATGTTATTTATTAATCATATATAAGATTGATTCTTGCCAATATAAAATATGAAATTCCTACTTTGGTGTTCTCTATGTTTGACAACATTAAATATACATATATATAGAGAGAGAAAATGGAATTAAGTAAAAGATAAATATTATGCTTCTCAAATTATAATATAAGAAAATAAAGATTTAAGACAGAGAGAGAGAGAGAGAGAGAGAGAGAGAGTCTACATGAGCTGATAAGTATATGATTATAAATCATGTACGAAATGCATTAATAATTTATTAATTATGGATTAATGCAAAGCTTATTCTCTTAATCAGGCGATTAATTATTATTAACAATAAAAAAGCAAGTTGGTTTTGTGTACGCGTTTCGTCGTAGAAAATCAGGATATATTTTTAGGGTTAATATTCTGAGAGGTCCTCTTATTATTTTAACTAAAGTCAAACTATTCAGTAGGATTCAATGACGAAATTTACAGATTGAATCAACTTGGGGAGGAAGGCTATATGCATGCATTTTGGTACCATATGAGAAGCAAATTACTCTTAAAATTGCATAGGTTTAAAGGAAGATTTACATATATAACACTTTATTTTAATGTATTTACATATCTAACACCCAAGTTCCAATTTTTATATGCATTCCACATTTACTTTGCACGAAAAGGTTCATTTTACTTTTTGAAAGTGTCAACAAATTGGTTGTTTTGGTCCAGCTATCAACTACTGACCCTCAGATGAGGAGCACTTGTCATCGAGATGAGACTAAGTTGTTGAGCAATGGTTGAATCTTTGTAATCTGACATGTAGCTCACTCTATGACAAAAGGTCCTTCGGGGTGTTCGTGGAGTATATTATTATAAAAACTTTACCCCCTTAAGGAGTTTTAGAGGCTCTCATGAGGCGGTTGGCGATGTTGGGGCGAGAGTTGAGCTTATGTCTTCTCTCGGCTTGATAAATCTTGGTCTTTGGCTCGAACAGCGTTTATTCAATCGACTTCAGGTTTCGACAATCAAATCTTTGATCTTCCAGTGATGGGACCTTAGGTCCTCCTTCTGTGGGCTATCCCTGGTCATATTTTTCTGTCTCTCAATCATTTAGATCTCCTCAAGATTCATGCCGACACATTTCTAATGCACAAGTGGATGAGGTGGTGGTTTTTTGGTTAGTGATAAAGCCATCAACCATGAGACCAATAATATTTGAGACACAAAATCTTTATTAAGTTAAATTTATACACTTAATGGCTCAAAAAAAAATGATTCATTTATCAAATCACTGTCCGATTAGTTTCTCTTGATCCAATCAATCATCAATTACAATAATTTGATCGTAATGATGGCCAAGGAAATAATTCAATTTTTTTATATTTTCACAGAACTATTAAAATTTAGATAATCATGTTTCAATCCAATGTTATGCAAATATTGAAAAAGAAATATTCAAAGAAAAGCAAGTTAGAACTTATCACCCACATTATATCACAATGAGTTGATTGACTTGCCTTATATTTTTGGGACATTTAGATACATACCACACAATTCCTATTTACATATGTAAAATCTAAACTTTACTTTTTAGATTTACAATTTTAACATTCAAAATGTTAAATACTTTGAATCTTTTTGAGACACAGTCTTACATTGTTCATTATTTCCTTCCCTTTTTTACATTATATAGAAAAGTCAAAAAAATAATCGACATAGTACATCTTACGTTGTAGGACACTCTTCTCTGGCATCTCGATAAAAAGACTGAGATGTGAGTAGCAGTTGTTGTCGGTATGATGCCCATCCCTAATGTCTGGATGAACTGACAGAGTCACAAGTGTCGGACGACGTCTTTAATTATCAATTGATACAAGTCCTTACTAATCACACAGTCTCCTCCGATAGCCACCCTTGAATAGGTGGACTAGGTTGTTCCTTTAAGGGGAATGAATATAATCAAATAGTCAAGTAGGACCGATTCAACCAACTCGGTGGGTGGCCTTCATTCAGTCACTTTGGCAGGTGAGTTCGATTCAACTACTTCGATATACGAGTTCGATTTGATAAGCTAAAAAATTCACATACTCGTATATGTACATACAAATACAAATTTTCATGCAAGAATAAGGTTGCATATATGCAAAGAGAATTCAATACGTAAATACATAGGAATTGAGTGGTGTCTTGGCAAAACATTTTAGATTTTGTTGAGTATAGGATTTAACGATTACGTGTCGAATTAATATTTTTTTTTAAATATATAATTAAAGTATTATTGCAGAATTTCTTATATATTAAATACAGGCTTTGCCACTTAGCACTATGTAGTCCGGCTTTGACACGACTGCCTGAGTTGATGACCGGTATAGACCAGAGGACTGCGATTCAAACTCCCCCGTTCAGACATGATTACGTATGTGGTGACGTCATTAAAAAATGTCAATGCTTATTAATGTATATTTTTGCATGATAAAAATTGGCTCTAACGTACATAAGCATCCTCCCACTCCGTTAATCAGCTCACAATTTAAATTAAATTTAATTTGATTTCATATTGCTTCCACTTTTACTAAATTATATATATATATATATA